TCAGTTCTCTCTCATTGCCCCAAAGAGTGCTGGTATATAAGGATAGGAACAGAGATACATTTACAGAATGAATGAATGAAAACGTAAATGACAGGGGGGAAAAGGTTACACGGGGGGAGGGAAATAGATGAAATAGATGTTACTAAGCAACCATCTCAGATGTGTTTGCAGCAGCACTGCAGCAATACATTTAGCAAAAGCGTTTCTAGGCAATTAGGGGAAAATCAGAAATAAAATGAGGGAATTTTCACTGTCTATAAAAGTCTACAAAGTCCTTGGAGGGAAAAATCCTTTTCTAGAATTTAACTCCTAGAAAAATTGATGGATTGAATCCTTATGTAACAGATGTCTTTAACTGTGGTTTTATGAGTGAGAAATAGCTACGTCAATGCTTCTAACATTGGCTCTCTAAAGTTTGTTAGAATATTGTTAAAACTTAACACAGTGAAAGCATTTCTATACAGAAAGAAGATAATGGTTTAGAAAGTTTGCAGTTTTATGATCTAATTTAATATGGGGGAATTAACCATATTTTTAAATTCTTCTCTACATCTATGAAGAAACATCTCTTGTGAGTTATGTCAGAATCTTGCTATAGCCATGCTGCGTTCTAACAACTCAATTCATAATTTACTTTATCAGAAAAGACAGTAAACAGAAAAATTTAAAGTTTTCTGTTACTACATCACAAAAATAAAACTGGATGAATTTTCACCAAATAAGAGGGTATTCTTGGAATTTTTTGGCTATGTAGCACATAGAAAATGCACTTTGAAGGATCACAAATGAGGTGAAGAGGCAGGTAATAGTGGCACCTAAGAGAGGTAGCCTTCTTCCAAAGAAGTTGCAAGACTCAATTTGAAATGTAGCTATTTTTTATGTAGAAATTCAGGGAAGGTTAGCCAGTAGATACTAAAATTTATCATTCACTAATTCATTTTTAACACATATTTATGATTGTCAAGTATGTGCCAGGCATCTTGTTAGACACTGAATTTACAGAATTTAGCAAAACATACATGGCCCCTGATCTCAAAGAGCTTATAGTCTAGGATGGAAAGCAGATGTTAAACAAATAATCCAGGTATAACATGTAAACTAAAATAAGTCACAGAAAAGAAGTTGTAAGAGTTGGTAATTGGGGAACTGAATTTACGTGGTCAGGGGAGGGTCAGAGAAAGCCTCCTTGAGAAAGTCATATGTAAAGCAGAGATGCAAAGGAGAGAAAGGATTGATTTCCCCAGGCCAAAGACAAAGAAGGCAGCCTGTGACAAAGGAACTGAAAGGGGAAGAGCAGAGCAAGGAGAATAAGTGCTATTTTTGAGTACTTACAGTACAGCATACTAATTCCAACCTTTACAGCACTCTATGGTGAAGGTATTAGTATTCCACTATACATAAGGAAAGTGAGGCTCAGGGAGATAAGTAACGTACCCAAGAATACAGAATGCTCCTGAGAAAGAGAAGAGGCACAACTCAAAAGTTAGGTCTAGCTTCAAGCTCTACATTCTTTTCATTAAGGCTCTAAGGTCAGAAAGTTTAATACTTTAATCCTCACTATATGGCATTAAAGTTCTAGGCCTATAAAATATAATACAAGGTTAAATATTTCCTTATTGTGTTCCATCCTTTAGATATCCATTCCAGTTTCTGTGGGTTTTATATTTTAAAAGCCACATTTTTATGTGTATCCACATTATATTTTGTGCACATATAGTTAGTTGGCTAAATGGCCTTTAAAATCTTTGCAGGAAAGATTTTACGTAGCTTAAGGCTACATAAAAACATAAAATTAACAACTTCATGGCATTTATATTTCTATGACACTTTAAAATTTTACACAGTGTTTACACAAATTTCAGGATATTTAAGAAGATACTTGCATTTCTTAGTTAAAAAGCTCAGGGATAAACTATAATTATCACATGCTAGATAATACAAGTGTTTCTAGGTATCACTTTTCCTTAACAAAAGCTTCTAGAAGGAACATCTTCATTAACTGTTAATACTTCTAACTTCCTATGGTAGACAGAATAATGACCCCCTAAAGACGTCCATACCCTAATCCTTGGGTCTTGTGAATGTTACCTCACATAGCAAAAGGGGCTTTGCAGATGAAATTAAGGTTGCTAATTAGTTGACCCTAAAATAGGGAGAGTGTCTTGGATTATCCAGGTGGGCCCAATATAATCACATGGGCCCTTAAAAGTGGAAGAGGAAGTCAGTGAGAGATGGGCAGATGAGATTTGAAGAATGAGAGGTCCACTCACCATAGGGACCTTGAAGATGGGGGAAAGGAGCCATGAGAAAAGGACTGGGGGTGGTCTCTAGAGGTGAAAATAGCTCTCAACTGACTGTCAACAAGGAAACAGGAACCTCAGTCCTACAACCACAAAGAACTGTATTCTGCCACCAACCTGAATGAGCAAGGAAGTGGAATCTCCCCAGAGCTTCTAGTAAAAAATGATGCCCTGCCAACACTGACTCCTGACCTACCGAACTGTGAGAAAATAAATGTGTTGCTTTATGCTGCTAAGTTTGTGGTAATTTATGGCAGCAATGAAAAATTAATATTTTTATTATTCCTGTACTCCTTAATTCTAGCTTCTCTGAAATTGTTCCAGCCAATTCTTAATTGTTAAGTGCAGTAAGTGCAGTCCCGTTGCCTACTGCTCCTCCTGACCTTGCTGACTACCTCCTTCTTGGAGCCCTCTCCTCCCTTGGTTTCTACGGTACCATTCCCGATTCTTGATTCTCTTTTCTCTGCCTCCTTCATGGGCACTTGCTCTAATCTTCTGTAAATGTTGCTGTACCTGAGGGTTCTGTCCCAGGCTCTCTTCTTACATTACATATACTCTTGGCTTCTACCTATAAAAGCTAGCTAAGGACTCCCAAATCTCATCCACAGCTCAGATATCACACTTTAGTTTCAATCACTACCCATCTTCAAGGATGTCGCAAAGCCTCCATTCATTTGAACTTGGTCTTTCCTCCCAAACCTGCTTCTCTATCTCAATTCTTTTCTCCCATTAACTGCACATCCAGTGAACCAATCAGTCAAGTTACTTTGCCATTATCTTAAGACTATTCTTTCTCACTGACCTCCTATGTTATTGGTAGCTAAATGCATTTGGGTATTTCTTAAATGTCCCTTTCTATCCCCATGCCACAGCCTTAATTTAGGAACCCATCATTTCTGAAAAGGATTAGTAAACTCCCACTTTGCCTCTTCACTTCTAGTCTTACCAGTCTACAAATACATCCTCCACCTTCTCTCTAGCATGAGTTTTCTAAAAAACAAGTCTTATTCTGTTTATAAAAATGTTCAATAGTTCTCTGTAGTTCTCAGCATAAATTCTGCCCTTTTAACACTCAGTTCTTTTACTCCCTTCAACACTCACCTATTTAACACATTTGTGCTGTTCTATATGCTCTTTCTTATAACTGAGATGCCTTTCTGCTCTTCATTTTTAATGGCTGACTGAGGACTCAACACTGGTATGCCTCAAAAGTCATGTTTGAAAATCACTATTTCAAGTCTTAATTGCATGCAGCTTCAGAAACTCAACTACAGAATGATATAATAAATAGTACACTGAACTTGGCACATCACACTAAGTTTCTAGTTCTATTATGAAAAAGGCAAAGGGTTAAAACTGCTCTGGGCCTGTTTTTTCATTTGTCAAGTGAAAAGTTTTAAACTAGATGATCTAAACTAGTCCACTAAAGTTGACAATTCTAGCTTTCTAATTATGAGCACTAAAACTTATTAGGTACTGAAAACACTGCACTGTTCAATTTCTACAGATCCATCACATCCTCATATCATTCGCACACAATAATTAACTTTATCAACTAGATAAATAAAGAATATAGGCTATCTTGTTCTAAGAATTTAGGGATAAGGTCTAAATGTGATTGGAAGATCAAACCAATTAGATGTGAAGGCAAAATTATAAACTGAAAAGAAGTCAAACTTACAATTACCAAAAGGAGGGCTACCTAGAGTGATTAAATGACCAAGAATAATGTAAAAATTTCAGAGCAAGCAAAATCATAAGACTAGATCAGGGTTTTGATGGCTTTTATGCATCAGTTTCAATATAAATTAACTCTTCTAATTTGAGACTTCTTCCCATGGCCATTCTATTTACTTTCTCTCTCCCCCTTCTGAGCTTTGTTGCCATTTGCTTTTAAATCCCAAGCAAATGCCTCTTCCTTGTTGCTTGGGCAGAGGCTATAAGTAAATTCAGCTAAAGTGACTGACTGATCGTAAACAGGCTTTAGGCGATAATGAGTCTCTATTAATTAGGGCTTCATTGGTTTCAACCCAACCCTCTCGCTCCCTCCCCAGCGACGGACACCGCGCTTCAAACAGCGCATCTAGGGAGTAGCCAGGAGTCACAGGCCACCATCGCTGTGAGGGTTGGGTCCCTTCACCGTTACAGAGGTGGGGATTGCGTAAGCTGAGCCTTTTTGACTTTTGTTGGCGTTTCTGTGAGAAGTAGCCGGTGGGGTGAGCAGCGCCCAGACGCGCCTTGGGTCTCCTCCACACCCCTCGGGAGCGCGCATCGGGGCTCGAGCGTGGAACGGGGCTGAAATGCTAACCGCTGGAGTAACGGACTCGGCTCCCTGGGGCCCCTTAAGTCTTCAGGGCCGGGCCGGGCTGGGGAGGGCACCTGGCCTTCCCGAGCCCGTCCCAAGCCCAACACAACAGTTCTGGAGGACCCAACGGACCCGAGGTGACCAACTCCCGCCGCCCAGGATGGCCTTCCTTCTCCCGAGGCCGAGAGCCCGCCCAAGAACCTCGCTCGCTGCGCCCCCATCCCGAACTCAACATCCACTCCCCTCACCCGGCCCCAACCTGTTCAGCCTGGCGGGTCGCCAAAGAAAGGGGCGCGGCCCAGGAACCCCCGCCCCGGGGGAAGGAGCAACGACTCCGATTCCTCACCCCAGCCCGAGCGCAAAGGACAGCGGAAAGTGGCCTACTGCCCACGCACCTGTCTTGGGGGCCTGTTTTCGGCAGTGGCAGCTCAGATGTCCGAGTGGCTGCCACTTGCTCCCTAAGTCTCCCCAGACCACTCCCGCCGGCGGCCGCCCAGCAGCGACTGCTAACCGCGCATGCGCGTGCGGCCGCAGGCGGGGAGGAGGCGGAGGCCCGAGGCGCGTGCCGCGCGCACCTGCACCGGGGGGCTCAACGGCCACCGAGGGGCGCCGCCCTGCGAGCCTGCGCTACGAATGCCGCCGCCCGCCCGCCGTAAGGCGCGCTCCCGGCACCGCGCGCCGCGCCGCCTCCGCGGGCCAATGGTAGCGTGGACTGGGCTGGCGGTGGGGGGGAATGTCTGGTTATTAGTCCCAAGACTTTTCCTTCCCGCAGAGCGCTTTGCCCTCTCTGCAAGCAGTGGGGGTCTGCCTCCTATTGCGCATAATTGGGTCCTGAATTTTATGTAAATCCCGTTTTTGAACAGCGTCCAGTTGGTACCCCAGGCCTTTCCTAGAGTTCGGTATGTTGTTGACAGATGAGAGGTCATTGTGGTCAGGGCGAGGCTTCCTATTTCATGTGCTGTGTACGATAAATACAGATATATTAAATGTTAACCTAATAAATACATTATGTTTTCTTCTTGAAATGCTGTTAAGAATTGCTATCATTTCTTGTGCTCACTGTACTGTAAGGGTTTTACATTCCTGTTCTCGTTTAACCATCACAACAGCCCACGTGAAGAAACTGAAAATAATTACATGCCGAGCCTTTGACCAGTAAATGGTGGAAATAGGGTTCAAATCCAGGCTTAACTCTCTCAGAGCCTGAAGTTTTAACCAACGCGCTAAAAATAAGAATACAGCATAAACATAGTATTGAATCACAAGCCTCTGCCCGTAGATGTTGGGTCATGGAGCTTGTACCACTTATATTTTATAGTAAATCTCGACTTTGAAATTGGTATAATGATTTCAATGTTATTGGAAGAATAAAATATTTAATTGACTTGTGATACCCCTGTTAAAGAGTATCTGATGAGAGGATTGATGATGCTCTATGCACAATGTTATTGGCTAGATGCCAAGATCACTGAATATTTTTCACATTGCATCAGTAATAAAGCCACTATTTCTAGATTTTTGACAGTGTCACCCTCTGAAGCATGTTTATATAGTGTTTAATTTTATTGGTTTAAAAAATTTTTATTTGAGGTACTATGTAACAATATTATCCTCTTAATTTCTTTCTCCAGTCTTTCCAACTTCTATTATTCAATGTAATTCTGTGGCCCATAACAAATATGCTTGACTTGCTAGAGAAGAATTTCTGAAGGATCCATTGAAAGTTTGCAATGAAGAAGCTGAAAGCTAAAAATGTAAAAATGGGGAATTAGAGCTAAATGAGCCGTTACCCTGACGCATTGATGCGAAAATTTGTTAAAACTCCAAGATTCTGATATACACTTAATTCTTATTCTCAGTTTGGAGTGTTGTTTTAGGAGGATACCTATTTATCTGTTTTAATGACTATTTTAATAGGAATTCAGAATGTAAAGTTCAAGTTATTTCATGTACAGTACTTCTTACTGGAAGTCTCATCAAACATTTGTTGAAGATTTATCTTCTGTGTGCTAAGCTGTGTGTGAAAATTTGGGGGATGCAAAGACAACTACATGAGCCCTGCTTTCAACTAGCTAATAATATAGTTAGAGAAATAGACATATAATCAAATATGTATAATATATGATAAATTATACAACAGCAGCATGGACAAAATGCTATGGGAGCATAGAGTGTGTTGCCATTCATTCTTCCTAAATGAAACAAAGCTTCATCGAAGAAGTGCCATTGGACCTGCGCTATGAAGGCAAAGGAAAGGGGCATTGTTGCTATCATGGTGACTGCATGAGGTGTCCTGAGAATGAAAAGTAGCCCATTTTAGTTAGAAATAGAGTGCATGGGAAGGATTAGTAGAAAATGATTATGGAATGGTACATTGGAACTATCAAGGAATTTAAATGTCAAGAAACAGAATTTAAACTTCATTCTTCAGATAGGGCTATCAAATTATTTTAAGCAGAAAAGTGATAGGATCAACTGTAATTTTTGAAAGATAACTGGCCACAATAGCGAGCCCTGGAGGTCTAGTGGTTAAGATTTGATGATCTCACCACCTGGGTTCGTTTCCTGGTCAGGGAACCACACCATCCATCTGTCTGTTGTCACACTGTGGTGGCTACATGTTGCTGTGATGCTGAAAGTTATGCCACCAGTATTTCAAATACCAGCAGGGTCACCCATGATGGACAGGTTTCAGCAGACTAAACCTGCTGAAACAGGTTTCAGGACTAAAACAGGACTAAAACAAACTAGGAAGAAGGACCTGGCCACCCATCCACTTCCTATGAATAGCAGCGAGCATTATCTGATATAGCACCGGAAGGTGAGAAGATGGCACAAAAAGACCGGGCAGGGTTCAGCTCTGCTGTACACAGGATCGACAGGAGTTGAATCGACTCGATGGCACTAACCACTGGCCACAATATGACATATGTTGAGTGATATCATTTGTGGGTGCAATGTGAATGTCAGGACGTGAATATCCTCCTGACGTCCCAAGATGCGTCAGCCTGCCTGATCTGCATGTGGCCACAGGTACCTGGCTGTGGTTCCAAAGCTTCTGGCTCCAGGAAAAAAGTAAAACATTGTTGGGGATGTCTACGCAGGATGAAGGGAATAGGAAGGCAAATGTGTCCAGTTTACCAACGTGACAGAAATATACCAAATAGTGGTCGTGACAAAGGAGGTGGTGGTCTGGGGGTCCAGGGGAAGGCAATGGTGCCTTCTTTCACCCTCTTTCCTTCTACCTTTTCTTTTCACTTTAACTTTTATGTCTATTAAGGCAATGTAAATAGTCAAAATAATTTCAAGAACAAATTTTTTAGATTTTTCTTTGGTAGTTATCTTCTGGGCACATGGCAGGATTGTACTTCTGCCTATTTGAATTTAGGGATGGCCACAGATTCCTTTAACTAATAAAATATGAACTAATGCGATGTGTGTCAGTTCCAGATGGAAGCATTTAATTGTTGGTGCTCATCTCTAACCGTCCTTTCTGCTGCCACAGTGATTACGGAAGCACATGCCAAGACGCAGCACCTGTCATCCTGGTCCTTGTGTGACCTGATGAGTAGGGCCTGCTCACTAACCTGGCATTGTGAATGAGAAATACATTTTTGAAGTTGTAAGCCACTGAAATATGGGGGCTATAAGTTACCGCAGCATAAACTAGCCTATCCTAACAGAATCATTTTTCTTTTCTAGAAGACTTTTTTTTCATAACAACCCGTTCCATTTTTGAAAAAGTGAGATGTAAATTTGAGGGTAAATGAACTTAGACTGAGGTCCTAGTCAAAGAGTAAGGGAAAAGGATTCTTCAATTGTATCCCCAAGGTCTTTTGTTGCCGTTGATGTTGTTACTTTCTATTTTTGATTTGGAAATACTTTCAAACATACAGAAAGGTTGGGAGGAGAGTACAAAGAAATCCTATATATCCTTTGCCCAAAGTACTTGTTAATTTTTAACACATTGCCACATTTGCTTTATCTCTTTCTTTTTTCTTACTGTCTACCTATCCTATCTTTTTCTGAACCATTTGAGAATAGGTTGCATACATCATGCCCTTTTACTATTTAATAATTCAGTATATATTTCCTAAGACCAAGGATATTCTCTCATGTAACCACAGTATGGTGATCTACTTAAGGGAATTTAACATTGATATAATATTTTAATCTATAGACAATATTCTAATTTCTTCAATTGTCCTAATAATGTTCTTCATAGAACTTTTACAGTACAGGATACAATCTAGTATGAAATATCGCATGTGGTTGTCGTGTCTCTATAGTCTCCTTTAATCTGAAATTGTACTTCCATATTTCCTTGCTTTTCATGACATTAGTATTTATTAGTATTAGTATAAAAGCCAGTTAATAGTCTATAGAGTATCTCTCAACATGGATTTCTCTGGTACTTATTCATGATTAGTTGCAAGTTATGAATTTTTGCTGGAATATTGTATTAGTCAAGGTTCTCCAGAGAAACAGAAACGGGATATATATAGATATCTATAAGAGCAGATTTATTATAGTAATTGGCTCACATGGTTATGGAGGCCAAAAAGTCCCACAATCTGCTGTCTTCAAGCTGGAGAACCAGGAAAACCAGTGGTATAATTCAGTCTGAGCCCGAAGGCCTGGGAACTGGGAGGCCGTGGGTGTAAGTCCCGAAGTTAAAAGGCCCAAGAACCAGGAGCTCAGATGTCCAAGGGCAGTATAAGATGGACGTTCCGGCTCAAGAAGAGAGAGTGAGAATTTGCCTTTCCTTTGCCTTTTGTTCTATTTGGGCCCTCAACAGTTTGGATGATGCCTGCCCACATTGGTGAGGGCAAATCTTCTTTACTCAGTCTATTGAATCAAATGACAAATCTCTTCCAGAAACATACTCACAGAAACACTCCTAAATAATGTTTTACCAACTATCTGGGCATTCCTTGGCCCAGCCAAGTTCACACATAAAATTAACCATCATAGATATCTTATAAGTGATTTGTGACCTTTTCAGAATAATGTACCTGAGACACATAATCATTTGCCTCTTTTTGGTGATGTTGATTTTAAAAACTTGTTTAAGGTGTTGTCTGCTTTCTCTACTGTATAAGTTACTATTCTTCCATTTGTAATTAATAAGTTATCTGTGTGAATAAACTTTGAGACTATGCAAATGCCCTATTCTTCATTGAACTTTACTCTCCCTCTTCCTCCACCCTGAGATTTAGCATCCACTGATCATTTTTGCCTGATGCAATTTTACTATGATGATTGAAATATAGTGATTTTCTAACTCCATCTTCTCTCTATATTTATAAGCAACATTATATTTAAAAAAAAGCTTTTATTTCTTGTCCATCCATCTATGCATCCACCCATCCATCCATCCGTCCACCCATCCATTGAATCTATCATTAGTATAAAATCATGACTTTATTTTATTCAATGAGTTATAATCCAGTACTATGCTGAGTTATTGTGGTGCCAAAATTGTCCCAGATTTGGACAATGAGAGTCTCTTCAAGCTAGCTCTTGTGTCTTTTTGACATGGTCCT